AATGACGTCCGTTGTGGATGCTACGGCAACGACATTGCTGCGTGCTGCAGGAGGCCGGGGGTGGGGTTGTGGTTGAGTGGGGTGGGATAAATGACGTCCTTTGCGGATGCTACAGCAACGGCACTGCTGCCGGAAAATTTGCATATTTTCTGGTGGATGTTCCGTACATGGACTATCGTGGACTCATTTGATTGACGTTTTTGCTTGGGTTTGTTGCCATGGGCCAAATGCTGCAGGGATGCTGCTTTGAAGCAATGCAACATGGAATTCACCAAAGTTGCGAAAAAGCCTCCACATGCGGGAAGCGCGACATTAGCGAGGTTGAGGGGAGGCAGTGTTTTGACAAGTTTTGAGGCGACCTAAAGTCGTATGTGGCACAAGACCACGCAAGCACATGAAGTGAAGAGATGTGCGACACGGTGGCTGCAGCTGGACATTGATGACGACAGCTCCAGCAAGTGTTTCTGCATGCCATTGCAAGGCTTCAAAGACGGTGCTGAGTGCTTCTTCTATTCTGGTAGCTGCAGAATCGAAACGTGTTTTTTAGCAAACAATTACTTGCACCAGAAAAACCAAAGGTTCAGCAAAGATATCCCACAAAGTGCCAGGTACCACTTCAAACAGTCCAATGTTGGTCAGTCTGTGTTTTTCTTCCAGTTTCAGGTTTGGACCTGAACCTCAGAAAACATGCACGAGGAAGTTTGCAACTTGCCCGGGTCACTATCGTTTGCTCCATCTTGTCTACACCTTTTATACATCTACCTGGCCACCGAAACCTTGGTTGAATCTGATGTGAAAGACAGCCCGGCCAGGTCGGGTTCCAATTTTCAGCATCAAAAGGGTCCCCGCGTGCCATGGGGCGTGCCAAGGAAAGGAAGGAATTCGTGCGAAAGAAGCGCTTGAATGACCTTTTTGTTCAGCAGGCACGGACGGTGTGAAGGCATTGCCAGCGGTTTGTTTGCAACTGGGGTAGTCGTTTTTTGTTGGAGAAACATTAGTTGATCAATGATTAGAACAATTTGTTCTCCTATTTGGCCGGAACTTTTGCCCGGAACCAATAGTAACTGACTGACCCTCACCGATGAACTGCCCGTTATAGTTATTGAACACTTCCATTGACCCAAACAATAACCATGCAAAGACCGTGTTCCGTCCCCTTGGGAGTTCCCGTGTCACCTCCAGTTAGTGCAGCCCCAGAGGAAACATTCAAAACATTTCAAAACCGAACAATAAATAACACTATCTAGCTCCATTTTGAAGGTGTTTGGAGTGTGAAGCAACTACCTTTTGAGCAGGCAATTGTTGGCAGCCCAGGGTAAAGAACCATCCTGCTGGACTTGTGTTTGCATCGTTGAAATGGGAACTGGCACTTTCTGCCTCTCTTTCGTTACATGTGTTTGTTTTGTTGTTCATCCAATTTGGTCATGTGAGAATGTCCCACTGTTAGAAGTGCATACCGTGTTCGTACCAAATAAACATTGATTTCACTCGAGTTGGATTCAACTATTGGTACGCAATGCACCAAATACAACATCCTGATGGCTAGCGTGGTCCGTTGGTATCTTCCATTGAGCAGCACCGGCGTGTGATTATTAGTTGTTTGTGTTCAAAAATATATATATATATATTTGCATTCACACGCGTCCCTGGTGCAAGATATCACCCACACATATACAACTATATTCATTCCCCTCACATACTTTGTGTGCATGCGGGAAGTAGACACTGATCGAGAGTGGCATCAGCGGTTTGCCAAAGGTGATAGGCTATCATGGGTTTAAAACCTAATGAGGCCCGATCCATCCCGATCCTTTTCTTGGTTGAAAACATGTTGTTATCGCAATGTAGTCATTATATATGTTTTTCCATCAACATAGTCAACGTCATTTGCGTTGCTATTCTCGTCAACCAAATAGAAACCGAGGTGCGCATATTGTGAGGAGAACACGCGCTTGCATATGTGGCACACCTTGTTTTCGTTCATCACTACGGGGTTTTCCATTTCCACAACAATATTTTTAATGACGAGATTGATACATCATGTATTCCCCAACATATTTGGTCAGACACTCCATGGGACTTGCATATTTACATACATTTGGGTGGTTGAAAAGGGGTCTATGTAGGTAAAATATCCCAGTCCCATGGAGTGTGTTTGGGTTTCGTCATCAACATCCATCGTGGTTTATTATCGGGCTGATCCCGTGAGCAGGTCGTGAGCAGCTCTTCGCGGCCAGCAGTTTTGTGGATATTCGGCGGGCGAGCCGGACCATGACCATGAAATGGACACATTGAATTGAAGGAGACAAAACAAACAACACATGTCGAATCATGTCCTTGTAGAAGACTTGGAATTGTTCATCCCCAGATTAGTTTGGAAGGAGTTCAAATTTGTTGTTTCAACTCATATTGCATTCCTTTGGCCATCAGTGAGGTCATAAGCGCTTTTGATGCTATTGTAAATTCCCATGAAAGGATGTGGAATTGGGATGATGCTATGAAACGCACAGGGACATGCTTCGGTTCTTTCAACACCCAACCGTTCTGACTCAGGATAATTTGGCCTCCAGTTGCTGATGGTCATGCCACCTTAAGTGGCAAGGGTCCAGGCTCCTTGCTCCAATCCTTTTTCTGAAGCAAGCAAATACGTCCTCATCTTTCAACATGACCATGTCTTGGTCTTCATCTTGAAACTCCAATTGGAGGTGTGTCCAGTCTGAAGTTGAAAGGCAGAGGAGAGCAAATGCTTGTCTTTGATTTTGTTGAAATGGCGCTCTCGCTGTACCTGTGTACAACTTGAGACAGTGACGCGTCGCTGGCGCTGCGCTGCCGAGAAAACCGACTCGTGCGCGTGAAGAAGTGCCGACCATCAAAGCTGCGTTGGTTGCTGGGGCTGGGCAATACGCCCGCCTTGCTGGGATTGGTCAGCCAGTTGCAAGAGAAAGTGCTGAAAAACTTCACATGGGACCTGCTGAACACGTCTCGCCCTTGTTCTTTAACATGGAGAAAGATGACTTGAACGTTACAGCGCGAGGGTTTTTCATAGGTTTTCTATTTGCTGGTTTTGAGGCAGTATCCCGGCTTACCAGAGCACTCGAATGAGACGGCTCGGCAGAGGGCCCACAGAGCAGCCTTCGCTTCCAAAGGTCCTTTTTGACCACCTCCAAGCTGAGTTGTCCAGAGGCGGCTTTTGGCTTTGGAGATACCCGTTCTATACTAGAACTAGACAATACCCATGTTCTGCTGCGAGGACACGAAGAAAAGAGTTTCCAGCGTGAGGCTGCGTACTGCAATGGTCCATAGTTCTGCGATACATCAGAAGCATATCCACATGTCACTTAGAATGCACATATTATGCATCATATGTAGCATATTGGGGCTGTTCTAGACGTCATGCACCACCAAACATATCACGATGTGTGTCTCAACAGCAGTAGCGCTGAACCTCCTGGAGTGTGTTTTGAGTGTAGGATGGAGGTGATCGGGGGGCACCCACCTTTTGACACACGCACAATAGTGACATTGTGAAAGATGAGCTGGTGCCTACATACCTGGTCCTTGGTGCCTACGTACCTGGTGCTGGTACCCTTCAAAGTACGAAAAGATATGCCTTCCCTTCCCAATACATCTCTTCATTGGTAGGACTTGAGTGGTCTTCCATCAACCTGATCTATTGAAGGACTAAACCTTGCACCACCTCAGGTTTTGAGTACTGTATATGTGGCAAGGTGAGAGTCCGATTGTTGATGTATTTCCATGTATGTTCTAGCAAATTAATTTCGGGACTTCTTCCAGCAACCTGTACATCCATAGCATGTTGAAGTCCGTTCTTTCCAAGCATCCTGCGGTTTTAGCACTCAAACCAGCTGCATCATCTCCTTTGCCACCCCACACTTTGAAAGGCACGAGCTTGTTTTCAGCCGGGCGCGGTCGCGGCGCCGTGCCATAAGAGATGCTGTTGAACCCCATTGCACCCCCCGGTCAAGCAAGTTTTATCCCCCTAACAATTAATACCGATGTTCAGAAAGTGATTGCAGAAAAACCCAGCAAGGTGACTGGCTCCAGTCCAACTACTAGGGTGATGAAGTACTGGCAAGCTGGTTTTTGTTCTTGATTCCAATCGTGTCACAACACGAATCCGCGCTTTTCTTTTTTGAGTAGCCTAATCAATCCCACACAGTCTGCTCCACTGGTGGCAGGTATATGTAGGTTGTTTGAGTCGGTTTGAGTCTGAGTGCTTTCACTACAAAAAGCATGAAGGACGTGGCACAGACAGGCACCGGCCGCAAGCATTACATGAGTTCGCCAGATGCGGTTCAACCGACTCTCCTGCGACAACGCGTTGTTCAGATCAGCAAACGTCATCTCCCTGCAAACTCACATGTGAACATACCTAGACACTCCATGGGACTGCCATATATACCTACATTGACCCCTCAAACCACCCTAACTGATCGGCATATATGACAGTCCCATGGAGTGTCTGGGATATGGACTTTAACATGACAGAAGCATCGAAATCTATGACACTTTCGCTGGGATCGGGTGGGTCTTCTTTCTGGTCCCTTTCGCTTCGTTTTGTTTGGAGCTTTCGGTGGGCGAACATCCCAAGGCCAAATACTGTAGGTTCCTATATATGCCCAGTATACTCATGTCACACGCACCACAAAGTCGCGGGGGCCAGCAAGCTTTGCCATATTCCACACAAGCTGGTAAGTTGCATCGCACAACTTTTTGCCTCAGTTCCAGTTGGATTGCTTAAATTGCAGCGGCTATTTTTTTTTGTCAAGTGCTAGTGGGGAAGACTTTGACAGTTCTGGTAGTCATTCTGGGTCCCGGAGTATCTATGTAGTATAGACAAGGGCTCAAAGGAGCTGTCGAAATCTGATACCTGTCACTCTCCTGTCTCTGTCTATTTCAGCTCCTGGTCATTTTCGCCGTGCGCAGGGAACGGCGCTCACAGCTCCCCTGTCTGCGTGTCGAACGAACTGCCAGGAAGAATGACTGAGGCTGAGGCAGTGATTCGTGATCAGTCAGGATGGATTGTGACTTGATTTGAGCGGACCAAATCCAACAGGTCAACCAGCTTCGAACTGCACATGGAAGATGTCACCAAGCCTAGTTGTAGTCCTCAAACACAACACTCTTGCTGGACGCTCTTGGTCATGAGACACACATTTGCTGTAGATGTAGATATGTGTTTCCGATGTTTTTCAGATATGGAGGAGCCGCATTGCTATTGACAGGCCCGGTCCTCTCCCTGCCTACTGCTAGAAGACCTCCCCGCTGTGAGACCGTGTGCCAAGGTGACCAGCGCGCATAAGGACTTGGGTCCTTTGGATTTCACCGGTACGGGGTCCCAAGGATGAATGGATTGGGAAAACTGAATGGTTTGTGAGTTCAGAACTCCACTCCTTGTGCGAGAAGTCAGATCTGGTCTGTATGGGTGTGGCTCAAAAGCAATTACCTCCTAAACCCATGGGTCTATCGCCACATGTATGTCCCGCACAAAAAAGGACGATCAAGTCCTGCACATTACGATTTTTGTTCACGTCATACAGCAGTGCGGCGGAGGGTTTCTTTTCATGTCCTACCCCCTGCACCAATGTCTCCTCCTGCCGGGTGAAACCCATGGTGTTGGGGTTTGGGATTGTGAGGTTGCAAATGGTTGATATTTACATCGAGCATTGCAATGCACATAATTTTGTGATGTTGTTGGTCTCCTCCAGAAATATGGTACCTTGCAAGGACACAAGATGTGATCATACCCCAACATGGTTCCTAGCGGGACGACCCTAACTGGTCTTCATCCCTGAACTGGTCTTTCCAAGCTCTTTGACCCTAACGAAGGGCACCGCAGGGCAGCACCCGCATGGCGTTCTGTGACCGCCCGAGCCACGACGCCGGGCGGGAACGCCGTGCGCAGGCCGTATTGGTGGTGGCGTGTGGGCTGACGCTCGGAGAACGGTGGCGCAGGTGAGGAAGGTGCTGAGGATGGAGTATGTTCAATAAGATAGGAATATATAGTATTAGATATTAAGACAATTAGCTGATTAGCTTACTGTTTTTTGTTTGAATAGAAGGGGTTGGAGGTCGGGGTCTGGGGGGCCTGGAGTTATTTGGAGAACCTGCATGCACCAGGTGTGTGGTTTGCAGATGTTTGCAGATTGCCTCTACGTTGCACTAATGGTGTTGGCAAAATCCTTTTTAGATACATTTGCTCAAGGCAGCTTATCAGAATACAGGGTGTGTGCTGAGCTGCTGAGATGGTTCACTTGAACTCCTTTTTAGGGGAAAGGCCGTGTAGTGCGGTAGTCTTCGATTTTTGCCAGGCCTCTACATCTTCAGTCGAAGTGTATGTTCCTGCTTTGTTCCCACTGTCAGGACACATTGGATGCTTTATGAAGGGATAAATTTCTGTGTGACCGTCATAGAGTCCATCAGTCAGGCCACGCCCCGCAAAGGACTTGAAGCGCCGCGCCCCGTTTTATGCGAGTGACTGGACAGATGCCTTCTATCCCGAGAACATGCAGATGCTGGGCTTATAATGTGGTTTGGGGGGTCAGCAAATGAGCAATCACCAGTGGGCCAAGAACTAGCCACAGATAGCATTGTAGGCGGATTGAGAGACATGAGCCGAGTTGAACCCATTGGCCTTGTTATCAAGCTTCCTTAGTAGCTAAGCTGCTTGGCGTAGCAGTTGGCATATGGTCATGTAGTGCATCTAGTCAGTACCGGTATATTATATATATATAACTATAGTTGAATTGAGCTGTCATGTGTTCTTTGTTTTTGAGTTCTTTTTGAACTTAGGAAGTCTGCGTCCACCATCCTTTATCTCTTCATTGCCGCCTTGGCACCTGCCATTACGTGCTTTGGCAGTGCACTTGTGCCGGTTTTTGCTGTTTTCACACCAGTGGCTGCGAGGTTTCAAGTACATTTAATTGCCCTTTAACATGGTAGTTTGACGCAATAAATTGAAATGACACGCTCGCAGTCTCTCGCATGGTCAAAACCAGTTTTACTTTCTTTCATGAGCTGGATAGTATTGGATCTTTGTCACACCCCAAGACCTCCTCCTCCCATGGTATTTGTTCCGCTTTTCTTCTTAGTATCTTCAACAACGATCTCACAGCTGACCTCCAAAGACACTCCTTCCAGGTTTGGCAGTCGTTTCTTGGATGGCACCAATGGCATCTCGGACTGGACGCCTTTCTTTCCTCGCGCGAGCATCGCACACCGTCCCGAATTCAGTGGCCCCATAGACATGCTCATAGACCGTAAACACTCAGGTTAGTTGTAAAGCAGGTTGAAGGCAGTGAGGATCTTGCAGATTCTTCAGCCACTCTGGGGATGGACCTTCAGAGCGACTGACTAAGGCCAATTTGGTGTGCTGGAGATGATCATGTCCACCGCCATCAGTGGAATGCTGTTCAGCGGCTCGGCGCTCACTCTAGTAAACTCTGTGGATCTCGGAGAAAGCTACAATGCTCAGAGAAGCGGAGCTCCGTTTTGCAGACTTCATTGTCATCATGTTTCCCAAGATACTGCCCAGGTCAATATTGAAACCTCTTACACAGGGTTTTGGCCCTGAGTCACACTGAGTAGCAGAAGTTTGAGCCCTCAAAAACTTCACCTTTTAGGGTTCATGATTCTTAAGGAGGTGGCACTGTGATCAATTTGTTGCATCATGAACAATCTCAGATGTCCAAACTACTGTAATTGGTGAGCCTCCAATTGAGGTGGAGGATTGGGTCTTACATGCGGTTCTTATAGTGGGGCTTGAACCTCCTTCACTATCAGTGGTTCCTGGTAGGGCATGTGCCCCAAACTGCTGCTGATCCCAATCCTTTTGAACCGTGCCTGGCAGACGATGTTGTACCTATACACCAGCGAAGCACAACAACGACATGGCAATGCTGTTTTCGTACTGAAAACCCGGATTGGCCCGAGCATGCAGTATATCAAGCAGCAGCAGGAACCGCTGCGAACGAACAGAGGCACCTTCGCCGGCCAGCCACTGTCGATCTTGGGCGCCACCGGCCCCTTCCTCGCCTACACCTTGGTCCCACGGGCTGCACACAGTTCACTAAGAAAACTGGGCGTCCAGCAGCGGCTATTGATGGTTCATTCACATTATCTCGGTTATTTGAGTTGTGTTTTCTGTCCTTAATTTAGTATATATATATATATATTGGACCTATTATATGGAACGAAGATGAAGAGGGAACTCCTTCAATGCTGCGTAGGCTGGTTTCCTGATACTGGTGTGTTGGCGGGGCTTGCGCAGGCTGTCGGCGGCACTTACACAAGTTGTTTGCGTAGGGTTGTTGTGGAGGTTGCTTTTGCTGATGCCAGCTATAACAACCCGGCAGGTTTTAGAGCCCCAGTGTCAGTGGCCCTCCGAATTCCTGCACGTATTTTCCCACGGCTGTCACATCTTTTGGTGTTCTGCTATAACACTTTCTCCCCAGTGGCCCTCCGAATTCATGTGATTTCATGCGCATATTGTCCCACGCCTGTCAGGGAGGGCAAGGGATGGGGGTAACAAGGCTCTGTATTTACGTATTGCATTCTGGCATTCTGTTGTTGGAAGACTGATGATTTGCGTGTCATGTCTACATAAGGACATAACATGAAGAAACATGAAGCCTCTCTCTTGTCTACGGTGCGTGAGAAAAGCGCGCTTGACTTTCCTTTCTACGTCAAATGAAGACAGTGCGTACTCTGTACGTTTTGCTTGAGGGTCATTGAGGAGGGGGTTTACGCTTAAGTTTTAAAGGAGGAAAGGTTGGACATTCATGTGTAGGGAACATGTACGTGAATGAGGAAAGAGTTGACTTGGTATATATTTAAGTTTGAAGAAGTACATACCCCAAGAACTTGCTTCCAAGACCAATGCTTGCCTCAACAGCAAGATCAGGGAGTACGTGTACTCCATTTCAAGCGGGGTCGTTGCGGGCAACGTGACCTGGTTTTTGGAGTGCATCTCGTTGAGAAGACCTTGTCCAAGCATTTTGTAGCCAGGGGGCCACCTCTCCCGAAACCAGAGTAGAACATGAATGAAACACTAGGCCCATGGACCACACACTGAGAGCAAGTTGAAGGCTGCGGGTGCTGCTCTCGAATCCAGCCATGCTGCTGAATTCTAACCACCCCACCCTGGTTCAGGCCCAAGAGCCTTGGTGGTGTGATTGGTAGCTAAATGCAGGGCTGTCACTGCCTGCCTGGCCTCGGGCCTTCCATTGCCAAAGAGCTTTGTACTTGGTGTTTGGTAGTGTGGCAGGAACCAAGATTTAACTTTCAACCTCGAGCTCAGCGTCATCTTCATGGAACACTAAGTGTTTGAGTAGAAACAATCAGCAAATATCATAGGATGCTCGCGTAGGCCTCCCCTCTTAAATTTTCTTAGAGAAAAGCTCCTGCGTTGGCAGCCTTCTGCGTGACTTAGGCTATGCGTAGGCTGGTGCGTAGGAGCCTTTGCAGTGTATAAGCTCCGGTCCAAGCACCCCCGAAAACATGGGGTCAGCCTTAGGAATTAAATTGAGGGGGGGTACTGAGTCTCAAAATGATTGCCGTCAATTAATTGCCGACATAGGGTGTTGGAGGGGGACCCCAAAATTTGTCAGCATGAGGAAATGCATGGTCTGACAGCAGAGAGGTAAACACTCCCCCCAAAAAAATCAATTTCAGTTATTTGTGTGGAAATGTGGGGAAATAAATAATTAGAAGAAGGTGGAGAGGTAAGGTACCTATGAAAAAAATAAGGATTGTAAAACAAGTGAAGGAGAAGATGAAAGAAATAGAAGGAAACAACGGGAAGAATGGCTAGCCTAGCCACCAGAACACTAAAACCCTGAGAATTCCCAGGGTCTGACAATTAACTGGGGGCGGGTGGAGTCCTGTACCACCACACAATTGTTCTTCCCACATCCCGCAGCCATAAAACAAGCGCCGTCAAATGCATTCAATTGTTGTCAAACATTGTGCAATGAATGCTTGGGTGGTTGAGCGCTTGGCCCCTACAATTACTTATCTCTAGGCCACTTAATTAATTTCCAGATCCAGCTACAAACCATCGTAAACACTCCCCTTCATTGCCAATATATCTGCTATGTAAAAAATCAATTTGCACTGGTCTAGTCCGAATTTAATTAACTCAAAAGGCATGGACTTTATATACAAATAACATTTTGGTGGTGACCTAGTCCACCCCCCTAAGGTAGGGCCCATCCAAAACCAGAATTTGGTTTTCTACATTCAGCAGCTTTGTCCATCGAAAACCTCAGAACGACTTTTAATTCTGATGGTGGGTCAGTTCGATGCAAGAACCATTCTGAAACCTAGACAAAATCAGGTAAACGGGCAAAACTACCATCATATTGATTCATCATGTAACACAGGCCCTTTGGAAAAAAGAAAACAAACGCGCCCCAGATGAGTCTCCTATCTCGGGATCTCTGTGGTTTTCAAATTCCTAGTCTTTTTTGTTTGGCAAAAGAATTGTCTTTAGACTGAGACATTTTTAAGATGCCCACATCTCGGGTCACTCTCTCTGCGGCTCCTGAGTTGAAGCCAACTCACCCTTTTAAACGTCGCATCACTGATTTTGGCCATGCGGTGTCGCATTTTGCGTTGCACTGTGTCCATGTTAACTAACATACCGTGACCGAAGTCCTTCCGGGAGCAGCGCGTGGCGCAGCGTGTGGTGCATGGTCGCAGAGGTCGTCTATGACTTGGGCATCGCTATGAACTTGGAGTTCATGCCCTTGTGCCTCGACTGGAGCACCTAAGGCCTGCCTGCATTGCATGGAACCAATGAATGAATATAGTGCCTTTTGTTTTTCACAACGGGCATGAGAGCATGGGCCCTAAACTTTGATGGACTGCAGTGGCTTTCTATTAGGTGTCTTATTGTTTTGCTGCGTAACATATTGTTTGGAATGGTCGATTAATGGATGTCCGAAGATACAGAGATAGGTAGATAGATAGACAGATAGTCAGACAATAGATAGATAGGTAGATGGATGGATGGTTTGAATAAATCAAACAGACAGATTAGATAGATGAAATGGATAGAAAAGTTAATATAAGAAAGAAAAACACATGTAAACATCAAAACACAAACAACACATAACGAAGACAAACAGCTCGAACAATGTCCATCGATAGTTAGGTAGATAGATAGATCGAATTGATAGAATTGATAGAACAGGTGAACTGAATAGATAAATATAACTTACAGTTTTTTTGATTTGAATTGGTTAGATTGGATTAGATAAATTTGAACTGATATAGAGTAATGGATAGATTGATGGATGGCGTGATGGATGGATAGATGGATGGATAGATAGATGGAAAGATAGACAGGTAGACAGATAGATAGATAGATAAGACAGATAGATAGACAGACAGACATACAGACAGATAGATAGATAGGTAGATAGATAGATAGATATTTCGATATATATATACATATATCGATAGATACTGTAGATACATCGATAGATAGATGTCATATAGATAGACAGACAGACAGACAGACAGATAGATAGATGCATAGATAGAAACATGTCTTCAGTCCAGTTAAAAATAAGGCAGGATCTTTATACCGTTGGTTTGTTCGGGTTTGGATGGTTTTTGATCGTTTTGCTGGACGCCCAGACCCAGGTACTTCTGGACCTGCATGTGGTGCGCCTTTTTCACCATCTTGGTAGCGCTCTTCGACCTGTGTGCCCTCATGAAGCACGTAACCCAGCGCTGAAGTGTGGCGTTTGATGTGGGGCACGGAGGTGTGGCACGGAGGTGTGGCACGGAGGGCCTACACAAGAGCATTCAACTTGTGTGTTGGACGCTTGGAGGCGGGGATTGGTGTTATTTTGAGAACCTTGGTGATGTTAAGATTGGATCAATCAGGCTTTTGTGTTGTTTTCAGTTCAGTTTTTTTAATGTTTTTTTCCAGTGTAAATCCAGTTTGAGTTGGATTGTTTTTATTAGCTTAGTCCTTTAGTCAAGTCTGGTTCCTGTCCGGTCGTAGCATTGTTTTGTGCGGCACGAGTCGAGTTCGGCTCGAATAGTCAAATATTCTGGGTCCAGGTCCAGGGTGCTAAATGTTTCGATTGGATTGGGTGGTGAAGTTGATCCTGATTCACAATCCCAATCATGTCGTTTTTGAGTCGTTCTTTTTCGGATGACTCAACACCAGGATCCTTGCTGAACATGTATCCAACGCACCCTAGCTGCGCAGTAAGTTCCGTCGGGATAGTAGCCAATGATAGACGACCCCATGATCGTGTAAATGGTGACATGGCATGAACCGATTTCAAATTTTATCGTCATTTACTTTATACCAGGGCGTTTCATCCAAGAGTGTGATTTCAAACGTTCCTTGGAAAACCATACGGGACGTCCAAAAACTGATACCCTTATTGTTACATGCATTAGTTCATTGAGATTGATTGAATTCATTTTGGTATGTCCTCCTGCTAGAGCAACTCTTTTGAGCATGTATGCTCAAGGGTCTGATCTGAATGGCGTCATCTCATGAACTGGTTTGTTCTTGCAAGTGTTACAGGCAATTAGGGTTTGTGATTGCTTGTGTTTGGAGGGCTGCATCCGGGCTCTTGGCTCATGGGCTGGCCCAGGCTCCACCACTGAACAAGGTACACGCCTTTGTCCGCCTGTTTTGGTTTGGAAAGGGCTTGTTTGCTCTTTTGTGTAGCGTGAGTCAAAATCATAAAGCGACACCCCAACGATACACGAGAGAGTGCAAAAGGGAAGCTCCTTAGACAGTGCCCCATGGGCAAGTCTGCAAAGGTGCAAGCAGGCTTGCGTCTTCTAGTGGAAGAGATCAGATCAGCGAACGAGCGGAAGCAGCCAGCAATGTTTCAGCTTCCTAGAGCAGCCCTCTGCTGTTGTCCTTCCTCACTTCACAGAGCTCGTCACACTTCCGGTGTTCGGAGGGGATGCTCTCAGATCATGAGTGATAACGATTAGGGAATCCTGTGTCTTGTTGATTGTGACGATCATGGTTGATGGCAAGACTCCACCATGCGAAATTCACTTTACCAAACATTGTAAACCGACACGGGACGTCCTAACTTTGAATGAATACAGCTCACACAAGTAAACAGTAGAAGAGAAAACAACTCACATAAAGTTTGTATAACATACAATAGCAATTGCCTCTACCACCCTAACCATCTGCGAAAAACTTGACACAGTGACACAACTTTCCAAACCCGTCCTTCCTATATAGGTTTATGTCTTGTTTTGACGGCCCCCTTCTACGGCTGATGCCCAGCCAACAGGAACCTGTCAGTGCCCGACTCACGGGTTGAGGTGACCATGTTCAGCGAGGACATTTTCGCTGGCCTCATTTCTTTGATCTTCATCATCGATGGCATTCGGTCCGCTCGGCACTGCGTTTCCGCGGGCGGATTCAGTGGCATGTGAGCCGTGGCGAATTCGCGTGGCAGATATTTGGACATGGCGTTCACCTGCAGTTTCACCCCGGAAATTTAGAGGTGCTTAAGATGGGATCATTGCCTTTCGGGCGCCTCAGAGCAAGGCACTGAGTATGGCAGTGTCCTTTGTGAATTCTATGTTGCGCATACTTGAGTTCTCCAGCAAATCCACCTTGGAGTTCCTTGAAAGTGACCGTGTAAGAGTAGGTGCAAGGCACAGAAAAATGCATAAGGCATAGTAATTTGACATACATCACATGTACTGACCTTAAGAGGTCACTTGCAAACACATAAATTTCAACACGAATGGCTATTCAAGGTAAAAAACCGTGCAACTTGTCTGGTACCAAGGCGACCCATCAACCTCACCTGCTTCCCTTTGACAAACCACGACCTCGGTCGAATTTTGATCCGGCAAGGCCCATCATCCAGAACTTCTCGGATGGCTGGTTTGGCGGCACCAGTGGCTCGGTCATTTGAGACTCCGTTCTTCACTGGTGACTCCGTTGGTCATAAATCTTGTGCCCTCATGTCTCATGCACTGGGAATTTTATGGCCGACCAATGTTCAAAGGATTCCCAGCCATCGAAATCACAGCGGACTGCTGTAGCATGCTGTTTCCACTGGCCTGGCCTGGCCAGGATTGTGTGGGGAGGCGCACAAAAACGACTGTTTTGTTTGATCGCTCCACAAGCAGGTTCGATGCCCTTGGTGAACGCCATGTTTGAGGCATTGCTCTTCCTCTACACCTTCGGACCCTTTTCATTGCGTGTGCGCGTCGGTGAGTGGACTGGGGTGTGACGGCGGCGCACTGGCGTGTGATAAAAATTTTAGGAGCCTACCAGGTCGACATCCGTTGGGTCAGTGGTAGTCAGACGAATGTGCTATTTGCTCAGAGGTCTGGAGTACTTTGTTTGCTGACAAACCAAACTTAATTTGACTCATAGATAGTGTGATCCCAACTCCTGATCTCTTGGGGATTAGATGGTCGATCTCATGTTCAAGGATCCACCACCATGCTTTAAATGATGTTAAATGCCCCAGCATTGTGCACTGTAGCAAAGCAGTAGCGTGCCTCATGATGCCTTCATCCGAAAAAGAATTACGCTCTTGCGTCCTGAGCACAGCTCAGGACTCGCCAGCTACCTGTCCCACTTCCGCCGCACTCCCTGGCTGCTGCGACCCTTGCGGAACTTGTTCGCCTGGGGTGCTCAGTGGGCCAAAGACGAGGGGCCATGGTCTGTGGTTTGTTCTTAAAGCCCGCTTCGATTGCGCCTATATCAAACGTTGACTGCATGAGTATTCCAGTATTCCCAACAAAAACTGACCGACCGCGTTGTTTGATGGCTTCATTCGTACACTGCACCCCTGCTTCGTCCGTCGTCGTTCGACTGTGTTCCAATTGCTTTCGTTTGAGGCCAACTTCGCGGTGACCATTTCGCTCGTCACGGCCAGTGCGTTGGCCGCCATCTACAAGACGGAGACGAAGAAAGGGCAACGGTCGAAGACGGGGTAGACAGAATGGAACAATCAATGGATTGTGAAGGCTAGACAAAGAGGGTACAGGCTAGAAAAGCAATTTTGTCCACCAGTGAACAAGGCGGATTACTTGCACTTAGTTGAAAGTTATTAGGTCTTTTATTCAATTCAAGCATGCTCAAGTGAGCAATAGGCAAAACTGTTCAGTTTACTCTTTGACGTTCGCTCCCATGATGTGGGTTGCTCCAAAACCAAAACGATTATAGTGAACTACCAAAAAAGATAACTTGATCGCGAGAAATTAAAAGAATCCACTTACTGTATACTTTGTTTCTGCTTGTAGGATTACCTCCAGTTTTGCAACGCTGTGTGCATGCAGCGAAGCTATTGGACTGGGCACGGGTACTCACATAGGCAAGCTTTTTGCTCGCAACCAAGCTATCGTACTAACTGGGCATTGCGGACGGTGAGTAGAGCAACGGGCCTTCCTGCAAAAAGTGTTCATGGTGCATAGGGTTTGGAAGCGTATGCCCTAGCGCTCTTTTCCGACACAGATGCTGATGCCAGTAGTTGATCATTAATAGCCAAATTGGCAACGACTTGAGAACCATTTGTAATGCAAGTACTGCCGTAGTTGTCACCACTTAGGTGGCGGAAGAGAAAGCAAGTGTTCTCACGACTTTTCGTGGGCCATACGGCAGAGGCTACTGGCAAGATCCCGCTTGTGGCAAACGTGTCGGCGACCGTGTCGTCAACGAAGTTTCGATCTAGAGCGGTACTGTAACTGCTAGTGGGCTCCTTGTTTTGATAGAACTTCTACCCACGTGTGACAAGTTGCTCGGAGGTTTTGCGTCCCTCACTTCAGAAAAAACAGATACATCTTGCACGCGCTCTCGCTCTGCAGCACCTTTGAGGAGACCAATCTGCGAATGCTGAACGTGGAGGCGGAACTCGAGCCAGCACTGCCCCTTCCCACGCAAGATCTGTACGGGGAACGCGTGGTTTGATCGGGGAGAGTGGCCTGAAGCTGGACATCCTCGATCCATGAAGAAACATGTTGCGCTACTCAAGGATCTTCCCTACGTCGGTCCATTGCACGTTAGGTCCGTAGGTCAAATGCCATGCAATCGCAACAGTTGACTTCTAACATCCTTGAACCAGAACATGAGGATGACGAAAGGTGCGAAATGATGTTTGTTTCCATTCAGGGTCCTTTGTCGCAAACAATTGTGGATCTAAGCAAGTATCAGGGTTGATGGGTCACAATAGTTTGTGTTTCCTGAAACCATTGCGACCAATTGCATGGAGGTGGTTTGATTCACTGGTGGTTTTAAACCCAAGAGCGAGAGGTTCGTCCTTGTATTCCTTGTTCTTCCCGCAACAACCTGAGAGCTTCAGGGGTATTGAGTGGACGTCGATTTTTCATAAACTGTATAGTAAGGGATCTATGCCCTGGACTGTCCCTTACTGTCCCTCACTGGTTGACTAGGCCTCAGTCTTCGATTGAAACCACATGGGCCATGGGGTTTGTCACAAAAGGACATGAGGACCTATTTTGAGAGCTTGCCCGTGCTGGGCATCCCACCTGTCATTCATGCTGAATTCCTGGCAGGACCCTGAGCACTGGTGCCAAGCGCCCCTGGATAGTGAACCCTATGGGCATCGAGACCGAGCTCCTTGGATGCCTATATATAAGTCCCTATTTTGCCTCGCCTGGTCTCATCCAGCCCTGGACTGGTCTCACAAAACTTGATATCTTGGTCCACGACAAAACATCCACTCAAGTTACCGGTTTGTGGTTTAAGACGCGGTTTGGGAAGACGTGTGGGACCATAGGACACTGTTAACAAGTGCATCGCTACTAGTAACAAGTAACAAGTGCATTACTACTAGTAGCAAATAGCTACTAGCAACAAAGGGCATCGCTACTAGGAGCAAGAAGCTACTAGTAGCTCCCGGCATTACTAGTAATGCAGTTGTTACTAGTAGCGTCCTTGCTACTTCTATCGATGCACCTTGTTACTACGGGCCACGAGTTGGCACGATCTTACAGGTGCCGTGACAAGATCCCATGAGGAGCTGATGATCGATGGAGAAACATCCAGGACCTTGGAAATCACAACACTGTCAACTGTTAACGTATCTATATAAATCTTATAATGGACAGCTAGCAGATAGAATAACTAAAAAAGAAAACCTTACTTGTATATTATATATATACACTCAAGATAGTTATTGAACACAAAACGATCAACATGTTACATAGATTAGAGGAAAAAAACACGTAGAGATAATATGGAGACAAACCGATGTACTTAGAGTACCATGATCACACTAGCTGTACCCCTCATTGTACACATTTACCCCTCACGGTACATCCTTAAGGGCTGACAAGTTTGATTGAGCACTCTGCAGAATATATATACACATGTTGCAATCCTCATTGAATATATATATATATATGTATACTGGCTGACTTTGATCTGCTTGATTCATGATCATAAACTGCCTTGATCTTGACTTGATCTTGATCTTCAAAAGTCACGCATTTACCTCAAATTCTATCTGCAATATTCTATGTGCAATTGCAGTTAGGATACAGTGATGCATAGAGTCAGCCCAAAAATCCTGAGTAATTATTGTTTTGGGATTAGTCAATATTCTAAGTGGCAGCTTTCTACTATAAATACTTCACGCTCCGGGGTGAAGGATGTTCTTTACAGTTTACAGGTAGGAAATTGGCTCGTAGTCTATATCAATGCAGCATACCCCATTCTCCAACAGGTCTCAGGAACTTTTGGCCTAACACGTCCAGTGGCGACCTCCAGAGCGGCCGCGGGGTCTCGTCGCAGATCACTCCCAAATCACTCGGAAACGCAGCAAGTTCAAGTGCGTGTTTCTCCCAATGTTTGGTCCACACGGTGCACATGTGACCAGGTCCCATGTTTGAGAGCACAGATTTCCCAAGGCATTTGGGACAGATGTGATCCGCTGCCGAAGCAAAACAAGTATCAACGACCCATTCAGCGACCCACCTGGATTTTAACATCATATCCGTGCATCAATCATCAATCTATAGATGCATCGGTATACCGTACTGGTAGATTTCTTTTGTCGATATCGACTTGTGGACTGGATGTTGTACCCCTAAATGTGACCAATGGAGTAGTACCTGCCTCCTTGACATTTGGTGCCGAAGGTTCCCTGTGTGGGGTATCTTCTTCGCCATCCTGCCTGCTGTTGGCTTCGCCGTGCTTGGCACTTGGGCGGTCGTCATCGTTGAGTTTGTACATGGGGAATGGAGAAATGGTGGTGAGGGGGTCCTTGGTGGTGACCAGGGAGTGTTCAGAAGTGAGGTAGTCTTGGCCAAAGCTAGAAGATGTTTTTTGGTTGGAATGTGTGTTTGTAGACTCCTTGAGGTGTGGTGAATCATGGCATGAAAAAGGTGCCTCACTCCATGGATCGTACAAATGGTATCAAACTCAAAGTGTGGATGTTCTGAAGGGATGACATTGAACCACAACCTTGTTCATGACTCATGACATTGAAAAGGGATGACCATTCCTTTTGTTTTGAACCCAATGGCATCAACCCTTTTTGAAGGGATGAAACTCAATGTTTTGCAATAACCTCAAATCAAAAGGAATGACCTCGGAGACATTAAGTTCAACTGCTTGGCGGCTGCCCATTGAGCGCTGCATGTGCACAAGCTGAACCAACCAACTCTCCCTAATTAGTTTGGTTTGACTGTCCTGCTGCAATACTATTTCAAGTTCACCAGTCCCTCCTCCGATTGTCCTGAAAGAAGTCAAGTCCTGACGTCAATGCTAGGGAGCATGTCTCCGTTTCAACTGAAATTTTGGGCGCGGAGGGTTCTTTTGTACAGGGGGTTGATGAATTTGTTCGCGTCCTGCATTGCCAAACCAGAATTTGTTCAAACTAGCAAAAACGGTCCCCAAAAAAGCTCGAGTTCACCACTCTCCTCCGATCAAGTTGGTCCAACCATGTCCAACCCATCCTTGAAAAGAATCCATTTAGTTGCCATTCTTCAAGGGGATGCCAAAGAGATCCTTTTCATGAAGAGAGTTGTTTTCCGGATACCCTTCATTGAGAAGTCAAGTTGAGTCTCGGAGACTACATTGATTCCCAGATCCAGAAGATGTTGAGTAGGGGTCCCGGTGTCTCAGGACTTTCTAAACGTTCTGGAGGGGGCTGACATCTGGTGATCACTGTGTTGCAGCAGTCCATTTAGGATTCATATTTCTGGCACTCGGGGTATATAAGTTTGGAGTACCCCACACGGCCATAATTGTCATTCCATCCTGAAATTTTGTGAGATGTATTTTTCCGATGTGCTTGAAGCTGCGGCTGGAATTTGTTGGCCAACAGACATCAACATGAAAACCATTTGTGTGAGGACAGCAGGGTGATTTTCTCTCGTTGGGGGTTCTGTTGATACCCACGTTTCTGGCCGATTGTCCAAGGATACCTCGATCAGAACTTGACCAGTGTCATCGTGAACCGGCCCTCCAACAACCTCAAGAGTCTTGGTGGCATCAAGTCCCGGCAAGCCTGTAGGATCTTAGGGAGTCTGCGGAAGTTGACGAGTACAATAGGACAAAATAGGACGCGTGTTCTTGTGGGACCGCTGACTTCCGCACCACCCCTCTCCCTGCTGATTCCAAGGAAGGGCCCTGGCTACCACCTGGACCTCTTTGTGCGTGGCGCCGTGACACTCCCCGCTTGCGCGATTTTGGGTTTGCCGCTCTCGGTGGCCTCCACAGTGCCTTCTATCACCCACGTGACCCGGCGCTGGTGAGTCTGCTAGGAGGCTGTCAGCAGCAGATGAGTGAACGAAATGCTTTGATGTTCAAGATTTGTTTGCCAAGTTCGCTCAAATTTGCTGTATGACTGAGATCAAGATCAATTCCACCGTAACCGAGCCAGGTGTATGCCTATGAATCGACCACTGTTCAATGCATACAACTGATCATCAGAATGCGCAAATGGTTCAAAACCAGGTGCCCACAGCAAACCGCTTCAACTTTTTGGGTGACCGAAGTGTTGATTGTCGAAGCAGAAATCCTCGACGAGGTGATCTCCCTCACGACGTACGAGGTGCCAAGATGAGAAGGTCGTTACCAGCTAGTGGCGACTGGCTGCATATCGCTATGCTGGTTATGAAAGTGTGTTGATACCTAGATCTTCAGTCCGGCACTTTTACAGGGTCCGGCGCCGGACTTCCAACTCCGGCGTTTTTCTGGATTTGGTCTGGCAGTTTTTCCAAGTCACTTTATGTGGACTTTGCATTCTTTGTGGTCCGCATTTCTTTGAAGGTAAACGCACTACTGATGCGATGATTCTGTTTGCAGAGTGTGCTCGTTTGCCTGTTCCGCTGTTTTCTCATTCCACCGGTTTCAGCATGGTTCACACTGGATCAATCAGATCCGTTTAGGTGACCTTCTACATGAAACCGGATGAAATCGGTACAGTGCGATGCACGTGTTGAAAGACCCAAGTGGGTACCTAAGCTGAAAGAACATGGGCAAAAAAGAATTCCGATTGTTTCAGGATGTCGAGGTGCTGGGATATAGTTCTAGCTGCGCAGGTTTGCAAAGCCTGCCAGACAAGTTTTGGGCTGTGGAACATGTGTCGTTCAGAATCTCAATGTTTTGCAGAGAGTTGCTAGAAATTGTGCGTCGCAACTCCGGCGTAATTTCCCGTAACTCCGGCGTAATTTTTTGGACTCAGTCTTCTGCAGGTCTTGATTTTTGAAAAGTTTTTCTTAAGAAGAGTTTTGACAGGAACCATGAGTTCTGCTACTTTATTGGGGGGGCCGTCCTGAGGCAAGCTTTAAAGAAACATAAAAAATAAGAATCATGGAGAGGAACCCACTTTGTAAAAGACTTTAGAGACACGGTTGCAGAGAAAGAGGGGCTCCTTGCCACATACTCCTTGGTTTCTTCTTGGAAGTCTTTGCTTGGGCACAAGTTACTTATATTTTGTGATGGTTCTGCTCTTAGGCAACTCGGAAGATGGGTGAACACAATGGGAACGGGAAGGCTCCAGTGTTGGGTTGTGGAATGAGTGCGTTCCAGAAAAAACTACTCGTGGCGCAAAGGCAGATTGCTTGTGTATGATCCAACCATTTATCATGTCTGTTTTTCAGAATTCTGGATCCGGATGTTTTTTGCAGGTCTCCGGCGTTCTGTTCGGAATCCGGCGGAAACTTTTGCCGGATTGAGGTCCGGCACTTTTTTCCACCCAAAAGAAGAACCAGGTAAGTTTTATGTTTTCATCGCTTTTGTAAGGCTTGGGTGGGTCTAGGGAATCCACAAGATTAGCACTGCTGGTGCCCAGAGCCCCTGTTACCGAAGAAGCAGTAGCCAGTAAGTACTGTCTATGTGGATGTTGCTGCCCACGGTTTTTTAGAAAGACATTGTCCAGGTCCCATGGTGAGGACCGTTATACACGCAGCTGCAGCTTCGTCCCAGAAACGGGACCCCCCAAATGGTGTTATTTTTCGGAAGAAGGGACCGGCCCTGGGAAAGGGGGTTTGAAAATGGATGGGCAAAAACACACCCGCGCGGCACTTGTGATACTACCAGGGCCCTCCACACTGATTGTGTTTTCAATGTTTCAGGAGGTTGGGTTCCTTAATTTAAACTGGAATAGTTTTGTGAATACGGTTTGGAGGGAGAGAGGGGCAGAGCAACAATTAGAATATAGTTTTTCAAAGAGTAGATAGTTATAGACCAGACTAAAGCCGTGAGGCTCCGAACACAGCCAATGAAGAGACATGCAAAAAGGATAAGATGCAGACACCCAGAAGCCATCCTAAAATCGGAATCGCCCCCGAGAGCGGCAGATGACATAGGAGTTAAACACTTGACAATTTTTTAAAATTTTGGACAAGTAGCAAAAGTAAAGTAGCAAAAGGAGACAGACGCCAGGCAAATGCCCCTAGAAAAAGTTTCCAAACAAAAATAGGTCTCTAGATTCTGGCAGATGACCTGGAACCTTAAACATTTGGGACAACAGAGCCAACCAAGACAGAAACGTGGAAACAACATTTAAGCCAAACAAATGCAAGTGTTTATTTTACGCGCAAATGTTTATGTTCAGGAACCTTGCTTACATCCAGATACGTGTGTTTGTGTATGTATGTTTGTCTTATTGACTTGGTGAAATCCGTTGATTTTTTTCCATTGAACCCTGTCTTGCTAGACTAAGTGGAAGAGACGCCAAAAATATCGCGAGTTGTTTTAAAACTGGGGGTCCTTCTTTGGCCCCGCGCATGTTTTAGGGCCTTGTTTTTGACGCCGTGGAATCACCTACTTGGTACGATGCGATCCCAACAGGTGCGGTACAGCAGACTACACGGGTACCGTGTGGAAGGAGTGCTGATAAATGATAAAATAACTAGAAAGCTGCAGGTGCGAGGGCGGAGTGAACAAAACTCGCCCTGCATCGAAAATATCGATTGGGATCCCCACGAGGGGTGGTAGCTCTGAACAAAAACCTACAGCCGGGCAAGCGGGGCCACGCGCGGGGCCACAACCACCACAGGTAGGGCCACGACCGTAAATACTACGACTTTTGAGGCCACACGCAGGACCTCTCCTATAAATACTAGGGCTGTCAAGGCCACCAGTCAGGTAAATATGACTTTGGGGTCTTGGGCAGCGCACCTCCTGTAAATGGGACTACAGGCTTGTCGGCGAATCGCGTAGCTACTTGCCCACGCGCGTCAAGAAAAGAACTTGTGGCAGCCAGGTGCAGCAGCTGCCTCAGGGTGAGCGCAAGGTGCCCGTGAAGGTCGTGGAGCAACGAGCTACGAACTTCCTCATCCACGCGCCCCGGTGACATGTTATTTGTTATCTAATCTGGTGGAAGTGAAGTTACGGCCGTGAGAGGGTTCAAAGCCAGATGAGGGGTCATGGAAGTTGTTGGGTTGCTATTTTAGCTTTCTGAGCGGGTGGAATATGAGGTGCCGCTAGCCATTCAATACATTAGCCTGGCCTTCACCAACATTTAGCCCAAACAAGAGACACATTGCAGTGGATCCAGTTCATGCTGCAACCTCAAAGTGAGGTCTTGATTGGTTGCGCACTCTTCTTGGCGCCCGTGCTGAAGTTCTTGCCGCGCTCAGTGCTTCAAGGAGTCTTCTTCTACATGGGTATCGCATCTTTGACAGGCGCTGTGCAGCGCGGATCTTGAAGAAACTGACATCAATCTAGATGCCATCATGACAACCACACGGGCTTGCGTATTGAAGTATCCTTCAGTTTTCCAAGTTTGTTTGCCAGTAATTGACTGGTCAGTGCTGTTTTTTTCTGCACTGAAAGCTTGTTCCAAATAGATATAGGGTGGGTGCCATGTGATCCCCAAGCCTCTGATTGGTTCTATCTTCCTTCGTACGCCCTGAAAGATTAGTAGATATATAGGGGACCAACATTCACCCCAGGAGCTAGAAAGTTTCAATCACATACTAAAAGCCTTGTTGTTACTAGTAGCGATGGCCTCTGACCTAATCGCGATGGCCTCCACCTAGTAGCTTCTAGTTACTCGACCCTGGGCAGGCAACATCTGCCAGTGACCCCAAGCAGTGGAGGGTGTCGATCGTTGGGGTAGCTGGTGGCCATTCTATAGTTGGTTTGCCCAGTGGTGGTATCATTCGATGGATGGGCCAGTGTGATATGTTTGTACTTTGGATCAGTTGCTCTTTCAGCTTGTCTTGGATTGTCTAACTCTTCGTTGCTTCTCTCGAAGCAAAAGCAACAACACAGTGTTTCTGATTGGAAGTTGTACTGACTCACCAGTCACCGCGTTGCAGGCAACAACCTCTTTGATCGATTGTTCTTGTGGTTGGTTTGGGAACCCAAGCAACTTGGACAGCCAAGAGTTGATCATCAAGGATGCTGTTTCCGTTGGTTGCGCCATTCAGCGCTATATTTAAGACCGACACACTAATTGGTTTGCATCATCCAAAGCCTTTGGCAGAAGAAGCAATGGACATGCGAATGGTTTTCAGTGTTTCTCCACCAAACAGCGTGGCCACACTTATATAAGGTTCTTCATTACTGTCAAGGTTTTAAGCTGACTCTGGTCAAGGGCCTGGGTATTACGTCCATGGGAGCCCCCAAAGACAAAGGGGAGAGACAGATAGAGATAGTGTGAGGGAGTGACAGAGGGAGGGAGAGAGGGGGAAGGTAAGCTGACAGATCCCAACATGAACGTAGACAAACCCTTGCTCAGCAAGGCCACAGCAAACACTCGTCGGGTACACCCTGGGCTGGCATGAAGCCAGACACACTCGAGATATTGCGCATTGAACAAAGTAGTGCATATTTCCATTCTTTGATGGACTTAGGACCCAAATGCAGGTACACATTCACGCGTCCCTGAATGCTTCCACCAGTCGTCCGTAGCTTCGGGTGACACCCTCGCCTCGCCCCTCGAAGCTCAGCCAAAGACAGCTCACTGAGCTTGCCCAGTCTGCGCGTGTCCACAGGACAGCGCAGCATGTGATAAAGGTGGAGCAAGCCGGCGACGAGCTACCCACGCCGCTGGAAAAAGCTCGCCCAGACAGCGGAGCCGCGAGCGGAAACAACCTCCATGCCTCCCACCCCCAGGATATTTTCAATATGTTCTGTTTTTGAAAGTTGGAATGAACACATACACACACATATATATATATATGTATATGTGTATATATATATATATATAAAACACCGCGCTTCATCCAAACTTAGTGGGGCTAAGGCTACCCGGAAAGACCTTTGCAGCGTGTCCAATATAGCAACGGGGCTTCTGATTAAGGCTGCATGCAAGCCTTGAAGCCACCATCCTCAAGGCTCCGAACACCCACCAACATGGGTGGCAAGTTCGATGACCTTTACTGCGCAATCATGCCTCGGGCTTTTGAAGACGTGCCAATTGCTGCACCTGTCACGCAAAAGCTCCGCGGCCCAGCGGTGACCCAGCGCGCATCTGCTCTTCTTGCACCCTCTAAGCCTGTAAGGGCCTCCCCTGCCACGCAAAAGCAACTGCAAATGCATTAAGTGCTGTACCTGCCAGTGCACCGCAGGTCATGGATTTAGGACGTTCTGGGGCTACTACAACCACGCTTGAAAGTTTTACTACTCACCAATCACACACACAATTTGTGTTCTCATATGTTTCTTCTCATTTGTGCTCTCACCTGTGTGCTCTCACGTGTGCGCTCTTTCATGTGTGTGCGTGTCCGACAATGTGTTTGCTTACAAAGGTGCATGTGCACGCTCTAGAATGCAGATGTTCGCTGGTTCATTTTTTGTTTTGTAATATGTTGCACTGCTTGGAGTGTTTTTCCGAGATAATCGTTTCGGAACATTTCGGAACCATATCCAATATCGGCGGTGTACCCCAAGAGAAGCAGACGAAGAAGGGCCCTCCATGCGGTGGGTTGTCCTCAGGTCGTTCCCCAACATGCCGAGCAACATGGATGTCGCTAGGGGTTTGTCATGTGTTCTAGGACCACCAACTATCATGAAATCGATTTAACTCCCAACATGGCGGAAACCATCATCAATATGTTCTGGATACTTCACTGAAACCTGGCACCTGTGCCTTCGAGAAGATTGCACTTCCCAGATGATAGAAAACACCTGAAACCGCACGACAAAAAAAAAATATATATATATGTGTATGTTGAATTCAATTTGGCCCAGGAATTGGGTGCACTCCAGACAATGATCCCCTATCATCCTCTATCCAAGATTGTTGGGCAACATGGTTTTCCCTATATATGCAGCATTTTGTTTTCATGTTTGTGCTCCACTCCAGTTGAATTCGATGGGAATTTTTGGCCCCAAGGAATCGACGCCAATGGGATCCCAACCATTTGGCTGTATTGGGGTCAGTGGTTGTTTGGTGATTCCACATCTTTGTTTTGGTACCTGCGTTGCTGCATTGGTGAAGTTCAGTGAACATCAAACAAGTGGCCCCAAAATTCAAGATTGTCCTGCCACCATGAAAGCCTTCCGAAGCGTTCGCCATGCTGTTTTCAGGAACTACCCAGCCTACATCTACATCCAAAAATTGCCTGTCAAGCGTGCAGCTTGCTGTGCGAAACGGGATTTTGCCGCGTTCCGGAAGAATGACGTAACTATATAGACCCACCACTGCGTACTTGGATCTTATTTTCATTTGGTAATCGAGATGAACAAGGAGGGTAGGGTCATCCATACAAACATTTTTTTGTTAAACAAAATCTGATGAAGTGAACCACAGGCCGGGAGACACCCACTTTGAGAGAGCAGATGCTGTAGCAAAAAGGTTGATGTTTTTGTATTTTACGGGTGGGTTACCCTCCAATTTGTAGACTGCCATTGGTAAAGAATACACTTCACCTTTTTGAAGGGCAGTTTCTAGATTAGATTAGATGTTTGTTTGGCGTAAGGGTATCTTGAATCCAAACACAAAGCCCAGGTGCATCTCTATACCTTTGTGCAGCTCATTTGCTTGGCAATCCTCTATGGTCTCAAGGAGATCAAGGAGATCTTGGGACCATTCACGTCGCAGTTTGTGGCTTGAGGTTTATATGTGTGAAACTGTGAAACAAGGGTTTTCTTTTCGGGACTCGCTAAAAGCGGGGATTGGCAATGTGCATTTGGAAAGGTCACCAAAGAGCCTTTTGGGCCACAATCGGGCATTTGCAGCCGCAGACTCTGCACATGCATTTATGAGGTGACATGATTCCGTGGCTGGAGCCTTTCTGCCAGCCTACACTTGGGTTTCTGGGATTGGTTGACGTCCCTGCAAGTGTTTGTTTTGGTTCTTTTTGAGGTGAACCAGGGTCACCTCATACCATCACTCACACCCAGAATTTGCTGGTGTTCTTACCACAAAGATGGTTTCCAACTGGTTCCAGTGGTCATGAGAGGCTTTACCTTCGCTGGTTAATAGAAGCTAAAATCGCTGCTCAGCGCTCTAACCGGACTGTGTAAGGAGTCCCAGGTGCCACCTTGGTATATACCTCGACCCTCCAATTGCTGAAGAATCTATGGGCCAACTATTGTTAGAGTCTGTTAGCCACGCTGTAAGCCACATTTGGAGGGTCCCAATAGTTGTTTGCTTTGATTCATCTTCACTGTTCACCGCAGGGCTTTGAACAATACACGCGCGATCTAAGCTGCAAACCCGCCCTCTTCCAGGCGACCTCCGTGGTGTTCCCATTCTTCATGGCATCCCTGGCCATTATCCGCAAGGCCGACCGCGACCGATCGGCGGAAGTTCGGTTCCGACCAACGGCGCGTCAGTGCGAACTTCACCGCCAATCGGTCCGTCTGAACGAAGACGGACGGATGGCTTACTAGGCCAGGTCTTTGTTACTGTTTTTTTTGCGGGACGGAAGTTTGAGCGGTAGTTTGGGGCGCAAGATGAATCCGAGGGACATGACATTTGGACCAACCTGCTATGGGAATGTCACTTGCCTCAATGGTTCAGTTTCTTTTCCATGTAGAAGTATAGGGTCGGCCCTTTTCGCCAGACATCGTGGACCCATGAAAACGACAGTTTTGGAAAATGTGTTATCGGTTTTCCATGGTTATAACTTATACCCAATTGACCCCTGACACTGGAGTTCCATAAATCCCGTGGTTGAAACAGAGGAGATGTTGGGAAATCCAATGCATTCCAACTATGGTCCATATATGGTCATCATGTCTATCATCCCGTCCACAGAACCTTCCTCACACAAGGACTTGCAGCTTGGTAGCTTGTTCTGATTCCTTTGCTTCAACTAGAGCCTAGTCAGTAGGAAGCTGAGTGTCCCCTCGTGACGGGAGGATGTGCACTCCAGCCACCCTGGCCACCCAGACAGACGCAGATGGGATCTCGGACGAAAGCGGAAGGTGGGATCCATTCTGGGACGAAGCTCTCCCCACCAACTGTCCCAATATACAGTAGTTCTGACCAATCCCAATCCAGCCTGACACCTGCACCGCTGCAGGCCTTGAGGTTCATGTTCACTGCCGAAGAGCTCAAGTATTTGGATTCTTATCCTGATGCAGAAGAGGAAGAGGTCACCTGGATGATCGTCCCGTGCTGTTGTTGATGTGCATGACGTCTCTTTCTTTGTGCCACCGACAGCTGCCTTTTGTCCGATGTCCTAACAAATTGGTTTAACTGCGAGGGGGTTGGCTAGGGTGTCTTAGGACATGGTCTTATTTTTTCCCACGACATGGAATGGCTAACCAAGTCACAGACGTTTTGTTGGGGACATGCCGTGCTTTTTGAACAGCTCGGTGAGATCACCCAATTCCAGCCAGGAACAGCTGGGTCCACTGAAGGTCCATGGCCATGCCCTTTCTTTTGTGTTGAGGGATTTGGTTCCAAGCCGCCATGGTCGCACTGGTCGAGGATCGTTCCGGATCCGTCATGGAGGACATCAACACATCGAGAGGACATCAACACCAATTCCAGCGGAGGCGAACGTGGTTTCCATGTTCTTTACAGTTTCAGAGTAGAGTCGGCACGGGGAACCCCCCATGGATGGCCTGAAGAGGCGCTTCAGGTGGGGGTGCATGATTGCACCACCAGTTACCCTCGGGGCCCGCCAAGTGCCATCTACTCTCAATCCATCTACTCTCAATCTATTTTAAAGATGGTTTCCCTACATCTTTTCGGGTGAGCTTTAGTGGTCCAAGTGGTGCTCGTGGCTACTGAGGCCCTGGAGCCTCAACCGGACCTCGAGAACTTGGGCGACTTGCCAGAGGACCCGAGGGTCCTGGCGCCGGATCCATGGTGATTCTGTGGGAGAATGCCTGGCAAGATCAGCAGATATATGAATCCGGAGCTGAGTTTTGGATTTGGTCCACTTGAAAATTAGTCTCTTAGTTTTCGATCCGTGGATGTAGAATTCCGGATGCATCATTGCATCCGACCCACCCTGCCTATGCCGCTGGAGCATTTAATAGGGTAGATCACACTCGGAGAGGTGATTTTCTGCTGGAGCGTTGTCAAGGTGACAGGGTAAGGAAATGGCTGCCTTTTTTGTTCAGTCAGTTGAGAGGTTGATCTCAAGATGGTTGGTTCAAGTTTACTAAAGACGTGCAGCCTATGAGTTCTGGTCCAGGACCATCCGCTTTCGGAGTCGCTCCCCTGTTTGATCTTTCCTCGTAGTGCAAAACACAGAGATTCTCATCAGGAGAGGAGGTGCTTTCACCTCATGAGTGATACTTATAGCGTCAATAGTGTAATAATCATGTGTCAACATGGGGAGAACCCGTGCAAAGCATTGCGTGTCAATGCGTGTCATCTATTTGATGCTCCCAGTGCGCTAGCTTCTTCTCTTTCTAGAAGAAGCAGGCAGGGGTTCTTGGGACAAATCCCACTCCCCTTCGCGTGGGATGAAGGCACGTCACGAAAAACCATAGGAGCCGAAGGTGGCCGAGGCCGAGACTGCGCAGAAGCACACGGACATCTAAAGATGACAGACATCTAGAGATGTCGAAGTAGCTTGTCATGCGGAGTTGTGAGGATGGGTGCTCATACAATGCTTCAGCGCGTCCACGCCCGGCGGGAAGAAGCGCGTTGACGCGGTGCGTTGTTGAGGTGTGTTGAGGTGTGCACACGATGAGTCTCATGTTGAGAGCTGGAATGAGCTGGATATTGGGAATGATATCATTTTTTGGGGGGAGTGCCCCTGTACCAGCACCCTGTGGCGGCCCGGTGCACCCTCCCAGACCGGTCTCCCGGCCGGCATGGGCGGTTCCACCTCAAATTTGGTTGCGACTTGTTTCGACTGCAGGATCGAATGATTTCTCACATTGTTCAAACATGACCTTTAGATACTTTGAATCGAGTGATAGAGCTACATGATATGATTTTGCGTCCATACATGTGTTGCATTATGTTGCATTTTTGTCGGCTGAGTTTCAAGTCTTGGTCACTACAACTGACCCGTCAAAGAGGTTCAGCGATTTATGAGTCCAGGAATCATGGACTGGAACAAGCTTTCTAGTCATGATCAGCACCAAAACCTTCTCCGTGCCCTTCGGAATGTGCCAAGGAAAGGAGGGAATGCTTGCGAACGCAGTGTTTGAATAACTTTTTTTCAGCAGGCCCGGACGGTGTTTTGACGCACTTACAGAGCTTTGCTTGCGGCTGGGTAGCTGTAGCTATTCCGAGAACGCCACTTCGCTTCAGGGCGTCGTCAGTTCGCTTCAGGTTGGACTTGCTGGGTTCGCTTCGGTAGGGTTTCTTTGGGTTTGGCTTAGGACTTCACTTCTTTGGCATTTCTTTTTGCTTGCTTTAGGTCTTGACTTCTTCAGGGTTTCCTTTTGTTTGGCTTGCGGGTCACCCTTAATTAGCGTTTCTTGAGGCTTGGCTCAAGCTTCTAGGGATATGCTGTATGCTGGCTTTCAACTTGGCTCCCCAAAGAAGGGTACGGGTCCTGGGTTACCCTTCTTCTTGTGTGTCACATTGTATTCCATGAAAGGGGCCACCCTTGTTTCTAGAACAAGTGGGGCATGCAATATGCACAAGGCTACTCAAAAATACTCAATAGGCAGCTCCCAGCAAGGAAACTAGAAGGAGGCCTCTCAAACATTGGTATATACCTAGAATTTTAAAAAGAAACATATGGAAACTAGATAGCTAAAGAGATACATACAAGAAAAAACAGTCGATAGACGTTCCATGCATGGCCTCTACGGTCAAGTGGTAACTAGGAAGAAAGGCAGAAAGGCATGAAAAAAACAACAAAAAGCAAAAAGGAAGAAACACAGGAATGAAGAAAGAGAAAACTCCAAAACATGCAAGCTACATTGTTTGAGGCCGCTAAAGCAGAGGTATGCACCTGGGTCTAAAAGGATACGTATGGACACTAGATAGGTAAAGAGAATCATACTGGACGATCAGTTAATAATGCATCCATGCATGGCCCCTACGGTCAAATGCGAACTAGGAAGACATAAATAAATAAATACAGAAAGAACATAAAGAAAACACGAATAGATCAGGAAGAAAGATCTATATAAAGAAATCAAGGAACACTGTATATATACTAAACCTCTCAACAAAAAAAACAGGCTAGACTGGTTGAGGCGTCTACAACAGTGGTATGTGCCTAGGAATATCTAGAAATCAAAAAGGAAACACATGGAAACTAGATAACTAGTCGGCCGCTGCAAAAGTTCAATCTGCTGCAACCGGCACTGTGGGCAGGACGTGGGAACCTGCAAGTTACATTGTCCTACCGTACTACCCTTCCCACCTGCCTGAATGTAACTTCCATTATAAAGGCAACCTTGGGTGTGGAAGATGTAGCTTACATGTTCCAAGCTCCCCCCTTCACTAGGGGTAGATTTACAGTACCATATCTACACATCATCTACATCATTTGTCTTCCCTACAATTGTATCCGGTCATCGCTAGTAGGTTGGAGGCATCGCTACTAGGTTGGCCATCGCTAGGTTGGGCTTATCGGATAGAGCCCACCCGTGCTTTCGCAGGTCGTGAGCACCTTTTCGCGGCCAGCATGTTTGGTGGATTTTCGGCAGCCGAGCCGGACCACGACCATGGAATGGACACAAAAACGAGACACGTCCATCGAAATCATCACATGTTGAATCGTGTCCTTGTAGAAGACTGGGAATTGAATCCCCAGATTAGTTTAGAAGGAGTCCAAGACATTTATGCTACTAGGTGGAGGCCATCGCCATTAGGTTGGAGGCCATTCGGGCCATCTATTAGTAACAAGAAGCTACTAGGTGGAGTCCATCGCCATTAGTTTGGAGGCCACCGGGCCATCGCTACTAGTGACAAGAAGCTACTAGGTGGAGGCCATCGCTATTAGGTTGGAGGCCATCGCTACTAGTAACAAGGACATTAAACTGTCACAAGGAGTTTCAGCCATGGTAGAAATTTAATTTGGAGTGTCCAGTTGGTGGGTGAATTCCGGCGGATTCTGGGTTTCCAGCTTCACTTCACCACTTGCCCTAGGTGAAAGCATAGACTGAAAGGGGCGTTCGGTTCTTTCAACACCCTTCTTACCCTTGTGTCGAGAGTGACTCAGGATTCAGGATTATTTTTCTCCAGTTGCTGATGGTCATGCCACCTTAAGTGGCAAGGGTCCAGGCTCCTTGCTCGATATTTTTCTGAAGCAAGCAAATACGTCCTCATCTTTCAACATGACCATGTCTTGGTCTTCATCTTGAAACTCCAATTGGAGGTGTGTCCAGTCTGAAGTTGAAAGGCAGAGGAGAGCAAATGCTTGTGTTTGATTTTGTTGAAATGGCGCCCTCGCTGTACCTGTGTGGAACTTGAGACAGCGACGCGTCGCTGGCGCTGCGCTGCCGAGAAAACCGTCTCATGCGCGTGAACAAGCGCCGACCATAAAAGGTGCAGTTGGTTGCTGGGGCTAGGCAATACGCCCGCCTTATGGGATTTGTCAGCCACTGGCAAGTTACAGTGCTGAAATTTTTATATAGGACCTCCTTATGGGATTTGTCTCGCCTCTTGATCATGCAGTGGAGCAAGATATCATCAAGAGTTACTTTTTGTTTACCTTTCAATGATAGTACAGTCACAGGCGTTCGCCATCGGCTTGGAAAAAGTACCTTTCAATGACACCCATGTCTTCCTGTTTAAATGACACGAACAAGCATCCACTTCCAAAGCCCGGTGCCTTTGTGCATCTTTTTGTGCCTTTGATCATGGCATGTTAGTGTCCCGGGCGAGACATGTCTCAGACTTACCGTAGCTTCCTTTGGTGGAATGACCTTTATTGGTGGGAGTTTGTTCGTGTTGTAGGCTAATATATAGGCCTATAACATGTATATAGAAAAACATGCATCCTTACTTACTGGAAGACAGGGGGCCAGGTAGTGTGCATAGGCAAACTAGATTGTGCTTATGACATTCCGTTGAACCGATCAGTTCATAATATCAATCTTGCATACACATTCGTTGTCATGGCCATCACGGCATGCGTTCAGACACACACCTCACCCGGACTGAGGTTTTTGGAAACACATATGATCTAATCTCTCGATTTGAACAGACCGCACACAAAGAGCCAGCCAGTCACATACCTTGCCAAGTGGATTTCAGTTGAACATCAACCTAACGCACACCATCTCGTATGAATTAATTGGTCTTACTGCATGATAGCAACAGATTCTTAAACACAGGATTGGTTTGATGGCAGAATCCCAGCTTGCCCGAGCACTCGAATGAGACAGCTCGGGAGGCACACCCTCAGCAGCCTTCGCTTCCAATACACTAAGTTTCTAAGGTCATTTCGACCGCCTCCAAGCTGAGCTGTCAAGCGGCGGCTTGTGGCTTTGGAGAAACCCATGTTCCGCCCAGAGCGCACGAACCAAAGAGTTTCCATTCTGTTCGACTGCACGCTGCCATCCCTGTGGTCACTCGGGGCGTCCGCAGTCGTACCGAAACAGGTCTCCTGTGGTCACTCGAACGAAGTAATACCAGGTGTGATCCCACCCAACTTCCGACGCCCGAAGCCATGCGATCGCCCCGAATTCCAACGACCCGTGGTCAACGACCAAGGCATCCTCCCACATCCGTTCGCTTTGACGTGCTTCTTTCTGACCAAGCAATCGGCTGGCCAGGAACCTGAGTATCGCTTGAAGCTCCAGCAGATTCGTCTCGCCTATGCCGTAGCTCGACCCAAACGGAGCGTAGCTCGGAGATCTCAGCCCAGGGGCTTCCATATTTGACGATTTCTTCTTGAAGTGAGATGGCTCATGTTGTTTTCTTGAATGCTTCAGACGGTGAAATCTTGGGCCTGGTCACATGTTTGGTGAGGCAGAACGGAAGGTGAAGGAATCTAGAGATTTGTGCATCGACCGCATTTACAAGCTTTGAAGCTGAAGTACAGCTAAGCCAACCGCTACTAGCCACCTGCCAAGCCAACCAGTTTGTGCCTCTCGGGCATCCTCGGAGGGTGAGCTTTGTACTGAAGAGAAGGCTTTGTGACTCCTGCGATCGGTTTCATCACAGGATGTCATAAGCCTGAATCAAGCAAGCTGGCACCCCTTTGGGTCCACAGGAGAGTTCTGTTCTCATTGAGCTTACCTTCGGACACCTGCGTTTCTCCCAACTCGGACCTTCGCGCACCACGATCGGACTTCGCCGAGGACTTCGCGGAACGCGTGGAGCGCGGCCTGGCACGGGCCTACGTGCAACTGCGACCACCGGAGGCGGGCAGAGACTGACTGGCTGGGGCTGGTTATTGGGATACTATGTATATATGTACATGTGTCCTTGAGTCTCCAAAAACCTTATTTTGTTTGCGTCTAATATGTTTTTGGCGTTTTTGCTCGAAAAGCACGTTTTCAGAGATGAGGACTCAAAAAAAGGTACAGAGTGAATCTTCATCCGGACGCGTCCGGTGCGGACACTTAAAGACGCCTTTTGGACGCAAAAAGACGCGTTTTGGACACCAAAAAAAAAGATCTCAGGACACTGTCTAAGGAGGATCTGACAGGCACAAACAAAAAAGGAACATTTCGTGACATATGCAAAAAAAGAGTGCGTTCTTTCAGAAACATTTTTTCTTGGAAAGGCAAATTTAAAAGGGTCATTGGAGACTCAAGGTATATATATATATGTATTCCCTAGGGCTCCAAATACTTTCTGAGAAGGTGTTTGTGGCAATATAAGTTATAAACATAGGACCTGAAAAGCATCTCTTTGTAAAGGAAAAGAGTCTTCCAGTGGTCCATGCTCAGAACTTCTTGGTTGTGGTAGAAAGTGGAATCTTTGTTGGTCCTTAGCTGTTTTTTCCAGTTTGAGCATTGGACAGTGTCTTGAAGATGAGTGCAGGAGGAGGTTTCTAGTTGAAGCTGAGCATCAGATACTTTTGCTTGGTTGGTTGCTTGTGGCAAGGGACAATCATGGGTTTCAGTTCCGAGCACTCAGGGTCCTGTGATTTCCAATCCCACCAGTTGTGCTGGGTTCTGGCTTCAGGTTTGCATGTGTAATCATGTCGTACATGTATATAATTACATATTATACATACAAATCTAGTTGTAGCACTGCGCGTCACTCAAAAAGAAGCACTCCTTCAGAGATATAGTTCCTCCACACGAGAGGATTTGTCGGACCCCTGCGGCGGAGTCCCCCCTATGGGATAGCCATGGCTAGCCCTTTGTTTCTGCGCATCAGAGCTATGGGCTATGGGGATGTAAGTATGATGTAAGTCAGCATGTTTTTTTGTGATTGCTGTTGCTTGGGATGGTTGTTCCTTCTTCACCCAGATTGACAAGTCGCGGCTTTTGCACAATGGTCGTGGAGTTGATGCTTAGTGATGCGTAGTGGCAATAGGTTTGTGTCCAAGTCAAAGCTGGGGTGTTTGGGTTCTGTAGGATCTGTAGGTGAATATGATATATGACTTGGTTCTGTCCTATTACCTGTAACAGTCAGTAAACAAGCAAATCACTCTGTTTGAACAAGGCCTGCAACTGAACCATCATCATCCACTACACCAATGTATCATCCACTTTGAACAAGGACTGGGCCCAGGTATTAGGATAGACCCAAGTCGAGCATGATGCAGCATGTCTCGACTCCAAAGACGACAGATCCGACTAACTCGAAGTCTCGACCCACTTAGACGCGTCCCGACGCTTCGACTTCGACGCAGTGGGAAGGTGATCGAATCAGCGAAGCAGCACCGAGTCCCAACTTCCGTCGATCGTCTGGGTCTTTTTCTCATGGGAGCAATGAGAAAGATCCCGTGCAAGGATGTTTAGTCTGTGACTTACCCTAATTTGTTGCTGAAACAGGTTTTAGAGGCGGCCCGCAAGGCCTTACAATCTTGTCCGAGTCAGTTGTCAGGTAGGAACGATACCCTGGAACGATACCACTCGCTTCAACAAATATGTGGAAGAAGGCACGTTCATGTTCCCAAACTGTAGCTTACAGAGAGACAGCCAGCCAAGTGCTGCCATGTCGGGGCAAAAAGACGTTGCTCAATCCTTTCGTGCTCATTCGGTGGCGTTTCCATATCGTGTTTGATGGTGTCATTTTCCCATTCACCGTTCCCGCGTCAGGAACGGTGCAGGAACGAGATCCAGAACGATACAAGTCTCACAAGTCCATTTCCCAGCACTTGCCTACATGACTCCCACAGCAATACCCCAGAACGGCGCTTCCCACTCACACTCTCTCTCTCTCTCTTTCTCTTTCTCTTTTTCCCAGACCAGATAGCAGGAGCAATCGGGGCTGTTGCTTCAAGTGCGGGAAGAGGTGCCTGTGCACTTTGGAGCCTGGCTGCTGGTGCGCTGCAGGGTGCCGCTGTCAGATGTGTATGGCGGTGTGCACTGGCTGCTGGTGCGCTGCAGGGTGCCTGCTGCCAGATGTGTATGGCAGTGCGCGCTTTGGAGCCTGCATGCTGCTGCTTTAGGGTGCCGCTGCAGGGTCCCACAAATATCTTTTTAAGCCGGCGTAATTTCAGAAATATGTAGCAACAGCACTAATATGCACTAATTCTGAGTCTAGTTCTTGAGAAGGGTGGCTTGGTTCTTGGCAGTGGGGATTGGGTTTGGGAGCCACAAGAGGCGGCCAGCACGGAATTTCGTACATGTGACTCATGTGACATAGGGTCGACCAAGTCAACCTGGGCTTTGTGGGGGTTGTCCAAGTCCCGTCATTGAATCCAGTTTCACCATCACTTCGACTCAAAAGTCGAGCCAAAGCCCGCAACCTCACTGGTATATGGAACACGTGAGCCAGCACCTGTGGGGTCCACAGGGCCAAAGCGTTGGATGCGAGGCCGAGGCCTTGGCACCAGAGCCGCGCGCGCCCGAGCCGAACGATGCGGAAGCTCGATGCCACATGGCCCGCGCCCGGGAATCGGCGGCCAACAGGCGAAAACGAGTCGCAACTGGGGAGGTGTTTATGGAGGAGTCAGGGGAAGGAGAAACCCATGGGCAGATGGAGATGGCGTGCCAAACGCGCCGACTCGCAGACTATACATAGATTCGTCCTAGGGTCTTTAATGTGGCGAAAACTGAAAGGCTACAGAAAATAGATCATTCAGACTCTCCCTCTCTCTCTCTCTTTCTTGGAAATCTGTAGCATCAAAACCCCTCACCGTGAACAACATGTTTTTTCAGACTTCAGACACTCTCGAAAGCTCTCCCAGTCGCAGAGATTGCATATCACGAAAGGTAGCTTGAGCTACCTGAGTTCTCCTTGCTTTAGCAAAAATGTATTACAATCAGGAGTTGGGATTGTGCATTGAATTTGGTCCTGTAAGAGTTGATTCTTTTCGTCGGGGGGGGGGGGCCCCCTGGATCAAATCCCCCCTGCGCCGGTTCACGCCGTCATGGACTTCTACCAGGGTTACTTGTGATTGCCTGCTACTTTTCGTTCACCCCCTCCTCTCTCAAGTGATTGAAGTTGACCCAGCACATCCGTACCAGAAAGGATTTCGATGTTTGACTGAAGGCTACATCTTCAAAATCTCAGGTGTGTATAAACCTGAATTCTGACACCATTTTTCCAGCCTATCGGCTCCATGCAGCACTGCATCGGTTCCTCGGTGGGGCTCGCGCACTCCTCGCGGGAAGCAGGCGCTGCGTGGTGCTGGAACAAGAGGTCCGGACCAAGGATCGCATAGTCCGCGAGCTACAGCGACAGGCCGAACTGTCGGGGCGCGACCGGCTGGAAAACCGGTGACGGCGGAAATCGGAGCAGTGGTGGACTCCAAGTCCGGTCGCACCTGAGAAGAGGCTTTGCCTGCAAGTAGGATCCAATTGACCGAAAATCAGGGAGGACATCCTTCCTTCAAACGCTTTCCAAGGCCCCCCCAATCAGGGTATTGGAACATCTATTTGCGTGAAACACAAGCCACAGGTAGCTAGCACTTGAAAGGAGTGGAGAAGAGTCAAGCAACGACAGAGGTAGATAAACATCATAGATTACTTGGGAACCAAGTTCCTCATCACCGATGCACCACAAATATGACTTGCCTAATCGCTAGTTTGTAACTGGATCACTGATTGCAATGGGTTGTGGATCAACACCAGACACCCAGACAAACCAAACACAGTATGAGCTGGCAGAAGATTCGGTCAATTTCAGAGGACAGGAGCAGTTTTGCATACCAGATCCATTGAAGTTGGAGACCCAAGACATCCTAAGACCTAGTGAAATGCCACTCATGTCCAAATACTTCCAAGAAGTAAGGCCTTCTTGCCAAGTCATTGCAAACTTTTGAGCTACACCCCCAGCCATCCTGGAAGAAAGAGGTTAGTCTTAAGTTAGCCTGTCTTCTTTTCCTTCAGAACGCGCCATGTAGGGTCGCGTTCTGCCAGGTCGGAGAGCTGGAAGGCGTCTTGGAGCGTTTGGAAGCGGAACTCTACGACGAGCGAGGCAGCAAGGTACGACTCATGGCCGCTGGGCAACAGTACGGAGGACGAGCGTGGGTGAGGCTTGTTTGGGAGCCAGACAGACATCAGATATCAGATGTGTTTTTGCATTAACTCTTCAGCCCTTGGCTAATCAGGGCAAATCAGCAGGCTTGAGTCAGCAGACTTCAGACACGCGCCCCGTGGGTTCGCGTCGTAGGGCGTGTTTGCTACCACACCACTGCTGTGAACACATGCCTGGCGGGTTCATGTTGGATGCGACCCCCGTGCCGCGCGGCTTCGTGAAACACGCCGCGGACGTGTGAAACACCCAGGCTGAGCTGGATGAAGCTTTGCCGAAGGCCGAAGTGGAGCCAAAGCTTCGGCAGATTGAGGAGACCTGTTTTTGCATGGGTTGAGAAAGATGGGGGTTTGGGTGTGCTTTGGTAAACCGTAAACCGATGTAGTTAAACATATGTTTATATATATATATATATATGGCCAGCTTCCTGATTCCTGGAAAACATGTTTGCTTCATGCATGAGTTCTTCAAAGTAAGCGGACGTCCTAAAACAAACCGTCCAAGTGACGATAGTTTGATGAAACAAGTTAAAGTTATGTATACCAGCACCCTCCAACAGGTGTTTCCTGGTGACAACAGGTGTCCAGAAACCACCTGTTAGGGTCTCCAAACAGCCTGTTGGAGGGTCCTGGTATAGTATTAAAGCAGTTATCAACTCATATTACTAGAGTGCCTGCCTTCCAGTGGGGGTTGTGGGTCCATTTATGTGGCCTTGGGGACAAACACATGGCCCCGCTCTGCCGGCGCTCGAGGAGCTGCGCTTCCAAGTGGACCAGTGCGGCGCCCACGGACGACGATCGCCCGCGAGGTCGATCGGAGGTGCCACAGACGACGTGGAACCCCAACGCAGTAGAAAGACCAGTTCCTCATGTTCATGTTCAACAGCCTCCTGATAGGGGCTGTGTTTGTTTTGGTGGGTGTATATATACTTATATATAAAATATATACATATTATTTTATATGTGTATATAGCTGTACAATGTACAAAGATGCATACAAAGGTGAAGACCCTCTGGGCAGCCTTTCTCTTGGGCTAGATTAGAGGAAAATCCGAGATCGGCCATCACCCTCAGATACGAACCCAGACGCTCCAAACAGCCCTTGGTCCCTCAACATCTAAAGATTTGAGGGTCCGGACCCTCCATATGAGGGTCCGGCCTCTGAACGGAGGGCCCAATGAGCGGGAAAAACACTTCTTGATCACGAGTTGGTTTTGCTATTTTAGTCGGATTTGTAGGGATCCAGATGACTCTAGTATGGTGAGCTTCCATTTGTAGCCAGACCCGCATGAGGTCAAGCATCGCTTTGAAGCAAGCCAAGGAGAGGGTGAGCACGTGCAAAGCGGCAGCTACACTTTCTCAAGCGTTGCCAGCCAACATATAGAGAGCTAACTGCGAGATCTTCCCAAAAGGTTCTGTTCTCCTGTTCAGAAGAAAGGATGGAGAGCGCCTTTATCTAGGAGAGCTCAAGAAGTGGTGTTTGGACCCTGGTGTTAAATGGAACCCCCAAAGGCCGCCAATTGACACCCCAACCAGGGTCTCCTGGTAGAATCTCCGCGCGTTGATCTGGGCGACGTTCTCGAAGGAACTCCCAGCAGAAGTGATCGATCAAACCTGCGAAGCACACAACTCCCTCAAGAGCCCAACGAACAAGAAGCATTGAAAGCTGGAACCTGTAAGAAGGCATTGAATGTGTGAAACCCATTGTGCAATTTTGCAACCTTTGCGAAACACCCTGAACTTGACTTGATATCAACTGCAGAGCCCCCAGACTGTTCTACCTCCCTCACATTTTCCGGTGGTTCTCCACTGCCATTCCCACTAGCCTTTGCCCTGTCTCACCTATTGGAACCCCACTTCTTCACCTACCCTGCCCTCCGCTCCGCTTTCTTCGCTTCTCTGCCGCACGAACGCAGGACCTCGCTCGGACCTGCGCCAGCCAGTCCGAGAGCTACGAGAAGCTGCTGAAGCGGCGGCAACAGGAGGTGCGGCACCTCCAGGCGCATCACCGCACGGAACAACGCGCGCGTTTCCATCCGCGGAACTGCCGAGGGAAGTCGGATTCGGAGCTTGGAGCTTCCAGCTTGCGTCGGTTGGCTGAGTTGGGGGAGAACATCGAGTCCTTCCCATGTTAAGATGTCCAAATATGTCCAATGTGAAAACTCACTGTGAAAACGATGGAATTTTGATGAATTTTGATGAGTGTGTTGGGGAATTGATGCTCGAGTTCTTGTGTCTGAACGACTTAACTGAAAAGCTACCCAGAAGTGACTGTGGAAGATGAGAGCATTCCTATGTCTTTTAGTCTGTGACCTCGTTTAGGGGAGGGCATTCCCAGAGGGCCTTCCTCCTAATTGTGCGATATGTGTGCGACTTCGTCGTTCAGGGGTATTCCCACAAGCTGCCAAGGCCAAGGTGTTTTCCCGGTCGACTTAGAGTCCTGGATGTGTTTGGTGTGTGTTTGTGCTCCAAGCAGGAAGGAATCCACCAAACAGCTCGGAAGACCGACTCCACCCTTCAAAGGGTAGACACTTCGGCTTTTTTTCGTCGCTGGCGCCGGCCAGGAATCGGTCAAGTTCCTGCAAGCCACCGACGAGGCCACACGACGTGCGGCGGCAGGGAAGCCTCGAAGGGTGGAAATACACGTGGAGAGCAGCGAGAGCGAAGGAGAAGAGCGAAGGAGAGCCAGGCCGAGCGCTTTCATAAGGAAGGCTCCTAAGGATAGCCATGCACCCCATTTTTCAAGTCTCGCCCTACCCAATCCGGGCCCGATGCAATGAAGTGGGTTAGGCTAAGGTCTGTACCCCGTGTCGGGCTTTCATGATCTGCAGGCTATTTTTCTTGGCTCCGTACATATCATGTAGAGAGAGAGAAGTCGTACGACCATACTGGCCACACACATACCTCTCACCCAGCAGTTTCCCTGTTCATTTGCTTGGCGCAGCCTGGCTCTGGCTGCACCATGCACGTCACATGCACGTCGGTTCCCGACCCACCCGGGGGGTGCGAAGTAACGAGCGAAAACAGCGGAGGTTTGTGCTGTTTTGACCGGTGTTTCCTTTGCTCATTCAAGAGTAAGAAGAGTCAGATTTGGGGACCTTGCCTCGAAGAAGAGACAGTTCAAGGAACAAACATCATGGTGAGAATGTCTAGTCAGGACCCTAAAACAGAGGTGTCTTTCTTATTGGCCTACCTTAGGAGAGGTGGCCCTGGGATGTCCAAAAGCCGCCTGTTGGAAGGTCCTGGTAATTCAATGTAAACCTCAACTTTAGAACAGGTCGCTCAAGCCCAACGCAGCTTTTGTACGACTGCAGCTAGGCATTTAAGAACGTTCATTGTTGATACTTTAAAAGTTCAAAGCAACCTGTTCAACCGACCTTATTCACCTCTGCCGGTGGATGCCACAACACCATCACATCCATCGACCAAGCTGGTTGGGCTCGCAGCAGCATCCCATCACCGATGGTCGAACGGGGGTCGGAGCATCGGAGTTCTTGGGACCTCTGACAGGTGTGTTTTTACACATTAAATGACTGGTTTCACCACATGTTTTATTATGGATGGTTTGGGTTTTATGATGTTTTATGTGTGTTTTGGTCTAAAAAAATGTTTACATGGCTGCTGGTTTCATGACTGTTGTTTTATCAATACATGTGTGTGTGTGCACGTGTGTGTGTGTCTTTAAATGGCTGGTTTCTATAGAGACTGGGAAGATGACACTGTTTCAGAGTGTGTCTCAGAGTCTTGGAGTCGTCTCTTGGAATCGTCTTGGAGTCGTCCGAAAGCACATGTAAACATGTAATGCCATGCATGTCGTAAAGAGTTTGGCTAAGGCAACTTCAGGAGTATGCATGTGACAATGCCATGGGCCCCATGGGCATGACTGTGAGGTGTTTCTTCACTCCAATGGGGGCCTGTTCGGCATCCCCTTCAACATAGATGCTGAACACAGCCTCCAGGGTTTAGTTGTTTCCTTTGCAAGACAATTGTGCCTTCCCCACCCCAAGAATCATTGGACCCTCCATAGCCGGGGTTCGGACCCGCAAAACTTGTTCCATTGGTTAGTTCGGCCCCAGGTTCTTTTTAAATTTGTCCATGTCTCTCCGATGACCATCTTGAAAAGAGTGTTCCCCGGGGCTCCAACTACCTCCTGAGAAGGTGGTTTTGGTGGTCTAACCACCGAACCTAAGGATATGGTTTGAGCCCTATGGGATAAAATATGTTGTGCGAGTTCGCCAGATGAGCAACACCGTGGGCAAGCTCCAGTACCGCTTGTTGCTGAGCCAATGGGAAAAGGGCAACCTCCAACGGCAGCTTCAAGCTGTGCCTTTGGCTGGTGATGGAAGTTCATTGGATGGGAGGGAGTTGACATGGCATATTTACCCCACATTGGCGTGGTTGTAGGGGTTGGAGATAAACTCGATAGCCTTTTCTTTAGAGTTCAACGCCCCTGACGAGCGAATGGTAGAACAAATCCAACACGAAAGGATGGTCCAGGTAACCAGGTATATGCTTGTTAGACCTTTTTCCATTGGAGGCCCATCGCCCATGGCGCTTTGCCACTCGTTTGCCGGGATCAGGCCTATGCCAACCAGCATCCATGAGCTTCCATAAAGCCTGCCCTGCCTGGACTGAGTGTGTGCTTGCTGGGAAGTCACTACTTACAACCATCTTTTCAGGTGCTTTATTCTGTTTGGGGGTTGTGTGTGTTGATTTTTTTGTAGAATGTTTTGCAGACAAAAGATGACCCAATGTCGACAAGCAAAAGCCTCAGATATGACGCTGACTTGGTCAATGCCTATCCCAGTTCGCTTTTGCCAATGCCACTGAGAATAGGATACGCACAAATCATGGATGTGGTTGGTTGAACACCAACTAGCCTAAAACGTGGTACTGTATGTGAACATACCCCAAAAGTCAGCTTCTTTTGTGATTTTTCACCACAGATACTCGTGTTTTTTCCCGTGTGATACACAATCTCGAGCTTGTGGTTTGTGCTTAT